CCCTGGAAGAAGAAGTTTGATTGGAGAAACCGGAAACCATGCTTTCAGGTTCTGTTGAGGAGGGATATCGAGAGTGGGTATATTGCGAAGTTGTAGTGCGATTGGCCGTTTGCATACGAGATTTTTCCGATGGACGCTATGGTACAGAGAAAGTATGCGTTCCTGCATTCATGGAGTCCCTTGTGGCAACAGTATCCGCCGGGGGCAACACGAATGGTTCGATTCGTGCAGATGATCTAGTTGTCATAGTAGTGGTTTCCGTAGAAAGCCTTTGCTCGTTAGGCTTGTTAGATTTTTGTTTATGACGACGTCGATAAAAATATAGTATAGCGAGAATTATTGAAAGGATGGCTAATACACCCAGAACGATTCCAACAATCGCGCCTGTTGGGGTCATAGTTGATTTAGCGTGATTTGTATTAGAGCTGGAAACTGGAGTCCCATTGGGTTGGGTTGGACTGGCAGTTCCATTGTTACCGGGATTCGCAGAGATGTCAGTGAAACTAAAAGATGAATTATTAAATTCCAGACCAGACCCAAGCATCGAGGATAACTCACTTGTGTATGCTGCTGACAACTGCATAATCAAAAAATAAAGGACGTTGCTCATCGGAATCCAAATTAGTCAGAGTCACGGTATGCATTGTTTCTTCCGCTAAGCCATCGACTAAGTAGAGGAGTGTTTGTGGGTGTTGATGCTGATCATCCAAATCGATATCCAAACCCGTAAGTTTCACGGGCACTTGGTCGTCCACGAGAACAGTGAAATTGGCGTTTGCATACTGTCCATACACTTCCTACAAACACCGATCAGAATGGTTATGGTAACAAAAATATATATATATACTGACAATGCAACACCCTTTAAATGTAATTATTACTTGAGCGCCGGCACTCGCTGTCCGATGCAGAGTGTTTTCAAACGCTGTACCGATGGGTTCCAATGTCCATGATCCTGCACTATAGTTCACCTGGTTGGTGGAAGTGTCGTCGATAAATGTCTGAAATATGGGATCTCTGTCAAGGATGTTAAGGAAAGGACTTCCAAAACTAAGAACTCTCGTACGCGGGATTTCCAATCTGCCGCTCAATGTCGATATAGTCTATATCTAAGAACGGCCCGCTAGCTGTTGGTATATTTGTGAGGATCACAGTATGTTTTTGATATGTCAATCCTTCTGCATTCCACAAAGATACATTGAAGAGGTTGGGTGAATGAAACCCACTAGCGATGAACTTCGCTGGGCCACCATCCAAGACTACGGAATAGTTCCCGTGGTTGTCTCGAATAGCACTGTTGGAAGCTAGTATTAGTAAGTGAATATATGGTTAGATAAAGAATATTACCCAAAAATTGTCACGGCAGTTCCTAATAGATAAAAATGATTTAGGAATATAGCGAGTATTAAAAAGAAGTTAACTTACCAAAAAACGAAATTGAAGCCTGTGAGTTAGCGTTCTGCGTAACACGGAAAGTACCGTTATAATCCGCATGAAAAGGATCAACCGAATTAGAATCTGTCCCTATGGAGTAAGTCAGTACATATACCTATCCGATAGAATGAGAGCTATAAGTACCTTCTATCCATCCTGCAGAATAGGTAATGAAGGGAGATGGATCTATCCAAAGCGATGACAGCCTGAGCACAGGGACTTTCAAGCGTGTACGGGGATTCTGACCTTGTATAGTTAAGTTTAGGAGCCCCATCCTTGTGCTACGGCTCACAATTCAGCACAGATGGCTGAACTCCACCTTCGCGCCTAGATACCTCAATGACACTCGGTGTGGAGGGGATGAATAGAGTGTGAATTTTGGGTTGTGAGGTTGCGTATAGCTGCCATGGGACTAAGTACGCAACTCAGGTCTTCCGGATCAACTGGTTGTCGAGGAAGCTTGGAGCAATTTATTATTTATAGTCCGCAGAATAACGGAAGAAGCCTCAATCCATATAGGATGCAAAACAGTGGGGTGACCATAGGATGGAACAGTGTAAATTGTCTCCGTGGTTCGGGTTCGGGTTCCGGGCAACAGTGGAGGTGTTGAAAGTCCAGAATGAATATCAAAGTAGTATGCTGTCCGGTCTATCCATATACTTTAATATAGCTTGCTAATTTGACTCACGGTGTTGCTTTTTAGAGGAAAATCAATGGTCTGTGATGTCGCTTAAAATTAGATTGCAATCCAATTGCAATCGCTGGAGACACCCGTGACTGCCGCTTGATTTGTTTTAGGTCATTGGAAAACGAATCTAAAATAAAATCGTTGAAATAAAATACTTTCATGAGAGCTTTCTTACATGCTTATAAGTGATAATATGCACGCATGTTGAAATCCATCGAGAAGGCTAAGAGCGGCGCTCGTCCGGATCGTGTGGCTGTGTGTTTAGTTCTCACGCATTGCCACGCTCAGCACTGCTTGGCCGCCTGGCGGGCCCATAATTAGCTCTACTGCATCCCAGCTCACGATACAGAATGGGATGGGGCGACTCCGTGGGACTGATTCCTTACGGACCTTCTCTTCGTCATATGAGACGCCTTCTGCATCATATAATTACCCCAAAAATATGACCTATTCAAGAGAAGAGTTCTACAAAATTGTTGCAGTTTCTTCTTCAAGACCCTAGGAACTTCGAGAGTCATATCAGACAGTGAGACGGTTTCTTTAGGACTGACATCGAAATACTGATTTATTTTAGCATGACTGGAGCCATAATTATGAAATTAACTTATAGTTATGATGTCGTGGAAACTGAGCAAGGCGACGATCCTTTTATTGAACTAGCCAAAAGAACCGTCGCGGAATTTTGTGCCGCAGCAACAGTGGGCGCGTTTTTGGTGGACATAATTCCTTGGTGTAAGCTCTTCATAATCCAGATCCTCAACGTTTACTGAACCAAGCATAGCTGAATTTATCCCTGCATGGTTCCCGGGAGGCCGCTTCAAGCGTATCGCTGCAGAATGGCGTAAGGACATGGAAAATATGCTAGACGTTCCTTTTGAATGGACAAGGAGACAGTTGGTAAGGTTGGATTATTCTCAGACCATTGTTTATTGACAAGATTAGAAGGATAGTGGTTCACCTAGTCCTTCTCTTGTCGCAATGCATCTTCCAGATGTCAAATCTTCGGAGGAAGGAGTCTCTCTTAAAATGGACAGCCGGCAGCATGTATGGAGGTAATATGAGGCTTATTTTACAACACTGCAAAAACTTATAAATGATTTTTTGAAATGGGTACCGATACAGTAATGTCTGACATATTAGTATGCAATGGGCGAATTCACCAAGTATCTTTTTCAGACAGTGTCTTCTACGTTGTCCTTTTTCTTGTGCATGTGTCTCAACCCTTCTGTACAGCAGAAGGCCCAAGCCGAGATTGATACTGTCATTGCACCTATATAAGTAACAATTATACATCCATGCTAAGCAAGGGCCACAAAAAAAATGCATTTATTGTGGACAATGGCCACAAAATAATAAATGTATCTGGCCATTACCAGGCCACATCCAGATGCATTCGCCCACCATGCTGACATAATATTGATTATGTAATATATCCACCCCATGTATTCATTGCGATGAAATAAAAATTTACACACAGCAAGAATTGAACCCAGGACACACCAGGAACATTCAATAATTTCAAGCAGTTTACCACTACACCATAGAAGCTGTTATAACTTATGAATAATTTAACATATGTATACATACAATATCCTATTTAATCGCCCTTAAATATTTCTTACTCCTGATAAATAAAATAAAAAATATAACCTAGTTTAATTAATGCTATGATGGATTTCTTAAATGCTCATAATAGAGTATACTCTTTAACAATAATTTAAGTTCACTTTGGTATTCTACTTATGATTCTATTAGGCACTTTTCACAACGGCCATTTGGTGTAGTGGTTAAGGTTGCTCTCCATTTGGTGTAGATCATTGGTTCAATTCCTGCTTAAGGCAGTTTTTTTAGGATATTTGTAAATACATTTATTAGTGGCCAAATACACTTGTGGCCATTGTTTAGAAAAATACATCCCTTTCTGTGGCCATTGGCCAGCATGAATGTAGCACAGTTACTTATATGTCTCGTCATTGGTCAAGATCGGCTTCCGATAATCGCTGATAGGGGATCACTCCCATATATTGAAGCTGTTCTGAAGGAGGTGCTAAGATGGGGTTCGATTGCTCCAGCAGGTAAGACTTCATCTGACTCCGGAGTTCTTAGTTCCTATTTCGGCCATTGGAAAATTCTCTCTAGGTCTCCCTCATCTCCTTATTCAAGATGACAATTACAATGGCTACATTCTGCCTAGGGGGTGCATAATAATAACTAATATCTGGTGAGCTTTTATGTTATTATAGCTATAGTCTTACTATAATGTGACTTGTGGAGTTTGTAGGGCTATGACACGGGATCTCAAATATTTTCCTAATCCCGAGAGTTTCCGTCCCGAGCGTTTCCTCAATGATAATCTTTAAGATACTACGCCTTTCGCCGATCCGTTGCAGATTGTTTTTGGCTTTGGAAAAAGGTTTGATTTACGCTATTTTATGATTTAAAAATTGAATGGTGAGTACTCACTTATCAATACCAGGATATGCCGAGGGCAACGGCTCGCAGAATCTTCTTTATTTATTACCTTTGCAAGAATTTTGGAAACTTTTACAATTGCAAATGAAGTCGATCCTATTAGCGGTAAAATGATTGAACCGCGAATTGATGTTAGTCCAGGAGCAATTGTGCGAGCTAATTTGCTGTTACGTATACACTCTATCTTCAAACTCACAGGGACCATAGTCAACCCATAGCATTTCCTTGCAAGATTACACCCCGATCAGCAAAGGCAATCCAATTGATACAGACCACAATAAAAAGCGAGGATTAGTAAGAGAGTATAGAAGTGGGCATTCAATTTTCATAATATATTCTTCTTCTTTCATGAAGACAAGCCTTAAGTATCCATATCGATTATATACTATTTCGTCAGGATTTTATCGGTTCGGTAGTTCAGTTGGTGGAACGTCTACTTAACACGCAGAAGGTCGTCGGTTTAAGTCCAGCCCGGACTATGCTTTCATCTCATTAGTACGAGCAAATATTTTGTGCAGTTTGGGCACATTCGCCAATGATTTTTTTTCCATTAATAATAATTCTTAAACACACATTCATACCCATCTTACGCACCGCCATGTCGTGTGTTTCAAAGAACACTACTTATTAGAGACTAGCAGGTGAGGTAAGCCACGACGTTCTTTGATCAGAAATTAAACTCTCAATTTTGACGCAGTGAAGCTTGTAACTAATAATTTTATACAGTTGTACGATCAATAGAAACTATAATCTTGCATGGCAATTGTGGTTCTAGGACAGACGGGATACAAAACGAAATACAGACTCTAAGACATGCATCACACCCCCGGCAGAAGCCGGAGCCAATTTCGGCCAAGCCCCAAGTTTTCTACCCCACATTTCCGACCAACACTGACTAGGCTATTGCCCTATAACGTCCATTTGCTGCCAATCGGTGACCTCTTATGCTATTTCCTTTTATTCCAAAAACCGCTTGCTTTCATCTCTGCTCCTTTCCTCCATTACAGTGGCGTGCAAAAATAGTGCATGTGCCCTTTTTAGGAGTTACCTCGTGCCACGTCGAGCGGTGACCTGAGGTATGAATATGAATCTTATAGAGGCAGTTTGAAAGTGTTTTTTTTAGCATAGAAACGCCAGCATGATTCTGCCTCTGGAGGGAGGTGTAATTTTCTGAAGCCACCCTACTAAAAATAATTTCTTCCACAATTCTTTTGGGAATTAAGGGGTAAATGGGACTTAAAGTTTATTTTTGGTAAGACATACTCGTCTATCGCACCTCTTCTGGCTAACCTAACTCTGTTATAGATGGCCGTTTTCCTTATTCTTATTCTCTTGCCAGTGTTTATCAGCCTTGCCCTCCTCCGCCTTAGTCTTGACAGCAGAGCTTCTTAGGCACGTATCCACCTCCTCGAGAACGACCCATCCCGCAGCAATGGTTGTCTAATCAACGTCCTTAGACAGATAGAAAAACAAGTTGACGACGCTGTTGCGGATATATTGGACGATCCAGGGACGAGTTACGGTTCTTCAGGA